CCAGTGGGTTTTTCGGGGTTACCGTATGGGAAAGAGTGTGAACTCTTTTGTGTGTATATCAAAGTATTATAACAGAAAAAGGTAAAAGAGAAAAAGGTAAAATTGGACCAGTTTTTTGAGAAAAAGGTAAAATTGGACCAGTAAACTAGGTTTTTTTGAGAAAAAGGTAAAATTGGACCAGTAAACTAGGTTTCTTGTTAGTGTCAGCTTCTTACGTCTACGGTGAGGAGCTACCTTGAAGAACTTGATAATATGCCGAGGATGGTGAGATACTGTCCTTCGTAGTATAAACCATGACATGACTAGATTTGGCGGATCATTGTCAACTTCTGAGAGACCAGAAAGTAAGGTGGGGTTGGTGTCTGTTTTTTTCGTTTTTGTTTTTTTTTTTTGAGGTCTGATCTCTGGTATTGAAAGGTCTCTGAAAATAACATCCTCAGCTCAAGGAGATTAAAATGGGTGGCAAGATACTGCCCACAGAACGGTGAACTGTGACTGGAAATGAAAGTCATCTTTCTTGGTGATGCCGTTTGACAGAACTTGCTTCTACATGGCTGTCATGCTACCCAGTGTTAACGTTGACTTTTTCTCTAGTGGTATTCCACATTTGGCATATGTTTGGATAGTTAATTTGGAAACCAGACAAAGGGTTCACGGGAGATGGAAAGTTGAAGATGAAAAGCATTGACATGTAAGACAGAACTCAAGTTCTTTAGAGTTCTTATGTGAACGTTTCCAAAGTTCAGCTGTAGAATATGAATGTCATAGCTCCACGTAGCTCAGGAGGATTTTGGCAAACAAGTGGTTAGGTTCCTAACAAGTGCCAGCTACTACTGTGTGAGGACTGTCAGGCTGGTTCTTTGTTAACAAGTCCACAGAAAAACTCAGGCTATAAATGACATCGTGGTGAGGCCAAGAAGTTAAGCACGAAAGTAGTCGTCCTTTTCCTTTAGGGTGATACATTGTGCGTGCGTGGAATCAGAGGAGGCTTGCAAGGCCTGGGTTGTTAGTTGGCAAACACTAATAGGTTGCTAGTTTCTCACAGAGTTTTTATGATTATTCAGCCTCTCAACAGTGGTTGAACATCAAAGCTGTCTTCCTTTCAGATTTGTAGTAAGAATGTCTTATTACTTCAGATATTTTTGTGTGTGCGTATTTACACAAATCTATAAGTATTATCAAGATTTATATGTTGGAATGATAGAATTTAGGATTCACAAAATGTTTTATGATTAGGTTTGAAGGCAACCTTCTAACGCAGGCCAAATGTGACATAAGATACGAGGAAAGAGTTAAAAGAATATAAACAATTACCACAGGAAGCATAACGTTTATTTTAGGTTGTTTCCTTTGAATTTCTTTACTTAGGTTTCCTTACCATTTAAATAAATTTAAGTCATAATATTAGAAATCATGGGTGAGTGATTTGAGTTGTGAATCAGTAATGAACAGTTGGCCTTTAGATAAACTGGCAAACATTTTAGTCGTTTGTTTTTGTTTAAGTATAAGCAAAAATACATTACAACTGAGTATGATACAGCTTTAAAAAGTGTAAGGCAACACGCTTAATTCATTACTTTCTGAGACCAGTGTTTTGCATATAGTAAGTCATTAATTACTCTGAGGTCTTTTTTTTTCCCCCAATTTTTTAAAGTGCTTTATTTTATCTTTTTAAAAAGTTGTCTGGGAATTTATAAGGGCAGCTAGGAGGAGTGGAATTAGAAAATCTCCAGGTAAAAGTCATCTCATGGTTTGTTTTGTTCATTTTACTGGATCCTGATCCTGATTCAAAGTAAATAGTTTAAGAAGGAATTGCTGCAGTGCAGCATTTAAAATTAAATTATCTTAAACAATTTTACAACATTTTGTACACAGCTTTCTGGTTAAATCAAAATTTAAGAAATAAGTATTTTAGTTTACAGTGTTAACTGAATTGTACGTGTAATCAGTGCTCACGTAGAAGATAATTTTTTAGGATTCTGATTTTCCTATAAATTCAGTTTCCAATATTTTGTCCAAACTTTTTTCCTCTTACTCATGTAATCAGTGATTTTAATGTAATGTGACCCCATGGCAATGTAATCTTGTAGTGTTTCTCTGTGCTTTACAGCCTTTGTACAAATTTTTTTTTTGTAATTAAGTGCTCAGTGAAGTGCTCTAAATATCACATATTGAATGAAATAAATGCATTATTTTTTGAACAACTTTGAATGATACAGATAGAACTGTTTGCTTTAGATATGCAAACTTGTTATCCACAAAAACTGGGGGACCAGGGCAACACCTGGTTATGTAGTTCAAAGGAGCCTGCTGAAAACACCAAATAAAAAAATCAGTAGAAAAAGTTATTCCCACATTTATTTATGCATCGTGAAAGTGGAACGTGCATATTTGCATCGTTAAGCATCTTTACTAATCATTCCTTGTGTGGTATACTGTAGAGGACAGAGCCCAAAACAGGCTGTTGTAGTTCATTGAAGTTAGACCCAGTTCCTTACCTCTAGCACAACACGATTTCCCCTTTCAAATGTATGATGAGTTGGTGTTTGATCCTGATTACCTTAAATACAAAAATTAAAAGAGAAGGAGCCATCATAATATACCTTTACAGTTGTGGAATGTTCACCCATAATCTGTCTAAGGAATCTAACTAAGGAAAATCTAATATGATGTAATCCCATGTGATCTGAAAATCACTATTCAGAATTCCAGAGAAAGACATATTCCTGCCAGAGGGTGTCCTTTGTAACCAAATTTGGTGTTCAGCCTGGTCCGTGCGGATTCAAATAGGAACCACTTCACTAAGAAATCTAAGGTAAGGGCTTCCCTAGTGGCACAGTGGTTAAGAATCCGCCTGCCAATGCAGGGGACACGGGTTCGAGCCCTGGTCCGGGAAGATCCCACATGCCGTGGAGCAGCTAATAAGCACGTGCATCAGCCACAACTACTGAGCCTGCACTCTAGAGCCCATGTGCCACAACTAATTGAAGCCGGCGCGCCTAGAGCCCGTGCTCCGCAACAAGAGAAGCCACGCAATGAGAAGCCCGCGCACCGCAACAAAGAGTAGCCCCCGCTCGCCACAACTAGAGAAAGTCCACACGCAGCAACGAAGACCCAACACAGCCAAAAATTAAGGAAACAAACAAAATCTCCTCCCCGCCTCAAAAAAAAGATTATTTGCCTTATTTTGGAGAGATGCAGTTGTCACAATATTACCTGTTTTTTGTTAACTTGTTTCTTGCAAGTAAAATTAATCATGAGGGCTTCCCTGGTGGTGCAGTGGTTGGGAGTCCGCCTGCCAATGTAGGGGACGCGGGTTCGTGCCCCGGTCTGGGAGGATCCCACATGCCGCGGAGCGGCTGGGCCCGTGAGCCGTGGCCGTCGAGCCTGCACGTCCGGAGCCTGTGCTCCGCAACGGGAGAGGCCACAACAGTGAGAGGCCTGCATACCGCCAAAAAAAAAAAAAAAAAATTAATCATGAGTTCTTTAACCCTAGAAGCTGTCTCCATTTCGATTTAGTTAACATTACTTGATCACTTATATTCGATCCTAGTATATAGCTGTTTAGCTTAGTATTCAAGAATCTATCCAGCCTTATCCTCTATTATTCTTTGAACCCTACTCTCTGTACTAATTAATATCATTTCTAAAATTGTTACTCATTTACAATATCTGATACCTTATAAGGTGCTAAATAAATGTTTGCTGGATAAATGAATAGGGAAAATTACTTTCTTTTTGATAGAAAAAATATTAGTATGGTTTATTTCTGTTATTTTGACTGTGCTTGTGTTTGTTTTCACAATTGTTTATCATGAATACATCTTGTACAATCAGTGAAACAATAGATTATCTTTTATTAGCCACACCTGTAGATGTGAAAGTTAATGTCTCAGAATCTTAGCAAAAGGACACTTATGTATGTCGTAGCCAAAGAATAATCAGCCATTGAGATGCTTACATTTAATTGATGCCACAGTGAGGTCATCTGAGTATATCCTTCAGGAATGCTTTCAGCTGCAGAGGGAAAACAAACTAATAGTGGTTTAAATAAATAAGAGGTTATTTTTCTCACATAGGAAGTCTGGAGATGGGCCTTTAGTTCTACTTGCTGACTCTGTTACCCTCTGTCATCCTAAGTTATTGACTTTCCCTCGTCGTATTTGTCGTGTTTGCAAGATGGATGTTCCAGTTCCAGACCTTCATTCCAGAAAGTAGAAAGGGTAGCTTCAGCTGAGGCGGTCCTTTTTATCAGGAAAACAAAACCCTTCTCTGAAACCTCTCAGAAGACCATCACTTCATGGTATCTAGAGCTGGGTCATGTGACACTACTTGCAAGGAGACTCCGCTAGCAGGTGGTTAGCTTCCAGCGTGTCTGGTGGGAGGCCGGAAGGGGACGGGGAATTGGGAATGGCTTTGGACAGGTCTTTAGGGACTGTTTGCGTCATCTTTACTGTTGTTCCAAGCTTTAGGGAGGGGAATTGTGGGGTAGAGTTTCTAAAAAGTATGGTCTTTTTCAGCTAAGACCTAGGAAGTATTCGATAATGTTAAGGATTATTTCTGGGGTCGTGATTGTTTATTTTGGGGCCCAGCTCCCTTCCTTTACTTTAGAAGAGACTAGAGAGCCTTCATACACTTACTTTCAATACCAGAATCCCCTTGCTCCCTCTCTCATCTTTAGCTGCTCACTTTCTCTCTTAGATTACTAGATTGTTCCTGCCAGCATTTAAACTTGCTCAGGTCTTGTCTGTCTAAAAAGACAGCTTTCTTTGAGCCACAGCCAGATTTCTGTTCAGTTACTTCCTATTCTTTTTTCAACCTTTTCCAATCTGATCTTTGTGGTGGTTCGATACTTTTCAGTTTTGCTTTGTCCTCACAGCTGAATTTGACACAATCACTTCCTCCTTGAAAATTCTTCCTTGACTTGCATGGACATCATCATACTCTTGATTTTATTCATTTCATGTCTCTGGCTCCTTCTCAGGCTACATCAGCAGTTCTCTAAATGTGTCCCCAAAATCCTTTAAGGGGCCCACAAAATCAAAACTGTTTTCAAAATAACACTAAGATGTTACTTGCCTTTTTCACCGTGTTGACATTTGCATTTGATTTTTGTATCCTTGCACTTCAAACTTACAACATCCTTTGGTTTCTTGAATGCTACAAGCTCCCTTCAGCCTCTCCTGTTCCCAATGCCTGGAGTACTTCCGCATGCTCGCCCTCCCTCATGAGTAACATTGAAGAGAATGACAGAGAGCTGGGTGCTACTTACTCTTGAGTTCTTTAACATCCCTTCTCCAGAGTGTGTCTCTGGCATTCTTCTGCCTTCCCCAGTCTCAGGTTCTCCTCTAAGTGCTCTCATAGCACTTTCATTAGCACTCTGTCGCGCCCGTCGGAATTCTAGTCACTCAAATCATTTGTCTGATGTCTGCCCCACTGTTACTTAGGTTCCACTAAAGCAGAGAATGAATCTGTCTTGGTCATCATTCTAGCATGGTGTCCGGCATAATCGGCACTCCATAAGTACTTATTAAGTGGATGAACGGTTGAAATGCTGTTGCAGTAAACTGAAAAGCTGAATGGAATAGTGGAAGGAGCCCTGAACCGAAAGACAGGAGATTTGGGTTTGAATTTTAATTTTGTCATTTACAACTTTTGGACCTTTCACGATTCTAATTCCTTATCTGCAAGATGATGTTAGTATTAAAAATAGGGTCTCAATATCTGCCAGAAAAGATATGCATTAAATAAAAATTCACTCAGCAATATGAGTGCCCACCACAGTAGTGCTAATTTCTGTGCTAGGTTCTGGAAATACAACAAAGACTAAAACAGACATGCTTGTTTTTGTGGAGTTTATTCTAGTGGATTTGTTCTTGGGCCCTAAGGTCCTTTCTGCAAAGATTCTGTGACATGAAGAGAGGCATAGTAGGTATCCTATTTTGAAGGTTAAATATATGATGACATCTTTAAAGGAGCTTAGAAATGTCTGTTCACCTTTAATCTGTGTAGTTGAAACCCTTGTTTCTGTTTTTCAGTCCAAGCCTTATGCATTTGACCGGGTGTTCCAGTCAAACACATCTCAAGAGCAAGTGTATAATGACTGTGCAAAGAAGATTGTTAAAGGTAAATATATTTAACCTGCTGAGTTGTTCCAGCAATAAGTCAAATTTTGTTTGTGATCTCTCCTGTTTACCCAACGTTCTCTTTTTCATTTTACGTTCCCTTTCCCTTTAGTTAATTGCAGAGGTTGTTTAAATAATGGAAAGGTCAAATATAGTTAGTAAGCCTATTGCTCATATTCCATGAACTAATTTATATACAGTACCTTTTAAAGGGTGTTATGAGAATTACAGTGTGTGTACATTCCAGTTAATACTCTTAACCTATACTGAGGTATTTTTCAGGTTTATGTTTTCTAAAACCATAGAACCTTAGAGCTGAGAGGGTGTTAAGTGATTGTCTGGACTTACTTCCAGTTACTGCAGAAATATCTTACATCAAAGGGATCTTATGACTAAATAGACATTACTTCGTGAAATGCTTTATAGCACTTTTTGACAGGTCTAATTGTTAAAGAGTACCTACGAGATTGAGGCAACATCTGTCTTCCTATAGTGTTCACCAGCGTAGAGGGGTTGGGATTCAGTATCAAGTGGAAGGTTAGGATTAAGTAGGAGCACAGACATTTCATCTAGTAACAGGAGGAAATGTAGAGTTTATGGATAGAAGTAGGTCCATTCGTGTGATGGCGGGAAAATGTACATGTTCTTTTCATATTAATTCCAGTTTGTCTCTGATGTAGGGAGCGAAGTCATCACAGAGAGTGAGGATGGGAGAGGAGGTTCTAGGAAAAGGTACAGAGTCTTCTAGCAGTGTGGAAGTGAATGGATTAGGGAGGTGTGGCAGCATTGCCAGGCAACGTTAAGAGCCCACTTGTGGTTAGCTGCCAGAGAGCTGAATTTACCCAGTTGTATTTTGCCAGGCAAGTACAAAAGAGGGAGAGAAGGGCAAGCGATGTAGTCGAGAGTGCTGCTAATGGTGAACCCTGGAATCTAAGCTACCTGGGTGGGGGAAGCAGGATTTAAGGGACAGTGAAAAAAGGTGGTAAGGTTAGTGTGTTATAGTCTCAGTGGAGTCAAAGGTTTTTTTGGAATCAGGGTAATAGAAGGAGTAAAGGGAAGTGTATACTTGGTGTTAGGAAGGCAGTGCAGTTGGTAATGAAAGGTCTAGAGTGTGACCATGGACTTGGCATCTGAAGGAGAAAAGGATAAGATCATGGTGAAAATTAGGTTCAAGGACCTAGAGGCCAGGGTATCATCTAGTACATGGACATCTAGTCGTGGGATCACCCACTACGTGGACATGAAACCACCAAGAATTACAACAGGTATGGAATTGGTGAGAGACAGTGGACTGGAGGGAGAATTAATGGGTGATTCTGTAAACGACTGCAAGAAAGAGGAACAGGCAGTGTCATCTTTTGTTGTAAGCATCAAATAGTTTTCCAAATGGATCTGTCATGGAACGCAATTATACTACATTCTTTGATTTTGACTTACTTTTGTCGTCAGTATAGCAAAAGATTGCTTTTTTAATAACATGAAGTTGTTGATTCATGGGCAGTTTAAATGTATGAATCTTTTTCACATTTGCTGCAGCCAACGTTAGACCCCAATCCACACTTAAATATTGGAGTTTTTTTCATCAGGCATAGAACCAGCATTGCATATTTTTTTCATCTGGCATCTGCACAAGCCTTTAAAGTGCAGATTCCATTTTGTTCATTTTAGCTCATAATCCTATTTTGAGTTTTGTTTTTACAGTTGTCTTACAAGGGATCTGAGTTGGCTATCTGCATGTTTTAATAAGTCTGTTATGGTGACAAGGATATTGAAGGCTTTTTTTAAGGTCTTTAAGCACAGTGGAGTTTGGAAAGTATTACTATGAATCATTTATAAAGTACTTAATGGGCCATGGTTCTTAGCCTAATCTTCTAAAAACGGAATAAGTTTGTTGGCAGTTATTAAATCATACCTGGTATTTAACCACCTTCAGATTCTCTTACCTGTACAGTTGTCTAGTTCTTAGCTTACCAACATATCCACAAGAATATGATGAAAAGCTTGCATCCTTTTGTGAAATCATGGTGCATGACTCTGGTGTTCCCCCAAAGTACTACTTGAGTGACCCAAACAGGAAATGAGATTAGTTCAGCCATAGCTTTTTCTCAGTGAAATTTTGGTATATTCGTCTGAGGTTCCCAGAATCGATTGATTTTTTGCTTTTTGAAAACGAGTGTAGCATTTACAAGTTAGTCATCTTCTTTTACCTCCGTTACCTGTGGCTTTTGTGAAATTTTTATCCATGGGATGTAATTCTCTTACAGCTAGAAACTTGGGCTCATTTAAAGCCATTCTTTGGCCATCCTACCCACCTCAAACCCAAAGCCGCTCTCAGCAGTGTTTTTTCTGTTGTTCCTTTTGCAGATGGTGTTGTAGAAGACGGTAATACATCGTTTGTTGACATAATCACCTTTTCTAGGCAGTGCAGGTCTACTCACTCCTGAATATTTTAAAAGCTCTCTTTAGGGCCTTACTTTTTATTTTGTTTTGTTTTTATAAGACTCACTTATCCTGGGCTTTTACCTTTCTCATACTGTTCTAGTGATTTTTATCTTTTTTGTACATCTTCAGTTATGTAGCCTCTTAACAATAGGCTCATACCTACCTTTCTCAGAACTCTGCAGTCTGTGGTCCTGACATCTAGTGTAATTGTTTCTACTACCTTTTATACTGTTTCATTACTATTTACAACTCTGAGATGACATCATTCTTTTTTTGAAATCTCTCTCCTTTTCTCAACATTTTGATCCCTTTTACTTTTTACCTTTTACCAGCAGATTCCTGCTTTACTGTTGGGAACCAAGTTCTGGATAGCAGTTCCCTTCTTTGCAGTATGGTTAAGAGCATAGGCTTTGGAATCAGACAAACCTAGGTTGAAGTCTGGGCTCTGCCACTTGCTAGCTTGTGACTTGTGGCAAGTTCCCCAGCCTTTCTAAGTCTCCATTTCCTCTGCTGCAAAATAAGGGTACCGTGAGGATTTTAAAAGATGATTCATGAAAAAGTACTGACTTGCCCTGGACAAGACACAAATGTGGTGGAGTTACCAGTAAACACGTAGCTTTAGGGAGAGTGATGGGGGTGGGGGCTAGGTGAGGTGTCAGGGCAGGAAAGCAGTTAAATACATGGCACGCTGGACTTGGGATATTCACTGGCACACAGATCAAGTAGAAGGCCATGGTAAGAAACTGGTAGGCAAGGATTGGCAAAATGATGGGTGAGCTGGTATTTCCTCTGAGATGTGGATTCGATGAGCAAGCTGCCGGGACTGAGTTGAGAGCAGCTCGTGTGCTCTGGGCTCCTGACAGCCCACCGAGGTTGCATTGTTTCATAAATATCTGTACAAGTATATAGCTTACGTATAGGGCTGTTACCTTTTCCTTTTTGTAGATTTGTCAGATAGATTTTTTTTGTTTTCTTTTGAGCATGCTTTATCTACTTGTATTCTCTTGAACTCTGAACCTGAGTGATGTCTACAAGTTGGTTTCCCTGGTATAAAGTAATTGTTGTTTATTCAATATTTGCTATATGCCAGGCATCTTACCAGGCCTCCAGGGAGTCCCCAGTTTCCCACCATAGCTTCCTGACCTGGACTGTGTGCCACTGTATCCACCTTAATTTTTCCACGTGTAGCCTGCCATGTATTTATTTTGGTTCCTCTGTTCCTTGAGAATATAATGTAGTAGTTAAGAGCTTGTCTTTGGAACCAAGACTGTCTGGGTTTGCATCCCAGCTCTGTCTTACTGGCTGTGGAACTGTAGGCCACAGTTTCTCAGTTTCCTCATCTATAAAATGGGACTAAAAATAGTACCTTCCATAGGGTTTTGTGAGGATTAAGTACATTCATATATGAAAGATTATTAGAGCCTGGCACATAATGCTTTCAAATGTTAGCAGTAATGTATATATTTTTAAAATTTATTTATTTTTATTTATTTTTGGCTGTGTTGGGTCTTTGTTGCGGTGCACGGGCTTCTCGCTGCGGTGGCTTCTCTTGTTGCGGAGCGCGGGCTCTAGGCACGCAGGCTTAGTTGTGGCTGCAGTAATGTATATATTTTTAAAATTTATTTATTTTTATTTATTTTTGGCTGTGTTGGGTCTTTGTTGCGGTGCACGGGCTTCTCGCTGCGGTGGCTTCTCTTGTTGCGGAGCGCGGGCTCTAGGCACGCAGGCTTCAGTAGTTGTGGCTCACAGGCTCTAGAGCGCAGGCTCAGTAGTTGTGGCACGTGGGCTCAGTTGCTCTGCGGCATTTACTGCCACCAGGGAAGCCCAGCTGTAATAATTTTATGTGATGACTTCTAATTCTCACAGCCTTCCCCTAAGCAGACATTCTGCTGATGAGGAAGCTGAAGTTCAGAGAGATTAAGTGACTTTTAGAAGGTGATAAGCTGTTCCTTCACTTGCTAAATACGTTTTTCTTGTTTACAAAATATGAAAGTAATATTTGTCCATAGTTCCACCTCTGTCTGTTTCTCACAAGAAAGGCAAAAGTATATTATAGGAGGGGAGGGACACTTTAGAAAGATGCTGTATGAGTAATAGTAGTAATCATTCAGCAAGCATTAGAGTTCCTACTAAGTGCCAGGCACTGTGCAGGAGTTAAACACAGCCCTGGCCTCAAGGATTTTACGGGCTAGTGAGGAAGGCAGACAAGTAAACTGATGGTTGCAGTACACAGTGATCAGTATTATGATTAAAATGCAGGTGCTACAAGAACACATAGGATGGGACTCTTTCCCAGATTCGTTTGGGGGTGGAATTGGATTGGAGAGAAGTAAAGCCTAAGCTAGTCTTACGGATGCACAAGAGTGGGAAGGAGAGTGAGGGATTTGCTCCAGACAGAGAGATGCATGTGGGCTAACTGAGGCAGCCCACATGAGAAAAGTATCGCCTCTGTAGGGAAGAACATACATTATGATATGACTGTGACGTTGAACCGTATTAAATTGTCAGATTCAACCATTTTTACCAACAAAAACAGCAGTGTGAGGGGAAGGATGGTGGGAGATGGAGCTGAATAGGCAAAAAAGAGCCAGTTCCAAAGGTGCCTAATTTTATCTGATTACAGATGCGTGCTTTCTGGGATTTTCAAAGAGATGGGTATTATTTGTGTGGTGTGTGTGTGTGTGTGTGTGTTTAAAAGAACTGTACTTTTAAGATATGTGCATTTCATTGTATGTAAACTTTATCTCTGAAGAATAAAACTGCAGAACACTGAATTCTAGCCAATGGATACATTCTAGCCAATATGCATGCTGGAGTATTTAGGTGGAAATGAAGTCTGCAGTTCACTTTGAAATGCATTAAATAAATAAGACAGATTAAGATGATTAAGGCAAACAGTAAAATGATAAGTTAATGATAGAATCTTGGTAGTGGTTATAGGGGTGTTCACTGTAAAATTCATTCCGTTTTTCTGTATGTTTAGACTTTTTCATAATAAAGTGTTGGCAGTTAAATCACTATAGAAAGCAGAGGTCAGGAATGGATTTGAAGATAGGCAAGAAGGGATTATTATTTTCCTAATTGATAACAGTTATTACTTTAATGATAGCCTGGTGCCTCTAGAAACCACCTAGTCACTGTTACATCCCTGCTCCCAGAACAGAGAGCCTAGGTCGTAGTGCTCAGCAAATACTTGAACATTGACTATTCCATAATCTCTGTAATCATATAAAATTTTTAAGTTTTGCTTGAAGTCCCAAATACAGACATGTGGCATACATTGATTATGCTATGAGCCCTCATATGATGTATTTCACCTAACACAAAATTACCGTAATATCCTATAGACATATGCTACTAATATGATCTTGGGAAGGTCACTTACTCATTCACCTACCAGTATTTATTAAGTACTTACTGTGGTAGTTGCTAGGTAATTGGATCATATCATGAATGAACCTTTCATGTATAGATCTAACAAAATTAGGTTTTATGTGATTGATTAAAAGATCTTAAGCAGAGGGTATGATACCAACAGGCTGAGAACAATTGTATGTAAAGGAAGTGGATTGGAAAGGGTCTGGTGCTTTTTTTTCCCCAGATGATTGCTTCTTCAGAATTACAGAAATATTGTAATCTTATCTATTTTATTCTTTAAAAAATTTTTTTACATTGCTTTGGTAATTGTAACAAATGTACCATATTTTTATTTATTTTTGGCTGCGTTGGGTTTTCATTGTTGTGCGCAGGCTTTCTCTAGTTGCGGCTTGCGGGGGCTACTGTTCGTTGTGGTGCGTGGGCTTCTCATTGAGGTGGCTTCTCTTGTTGCGGAGCATGGGCTCTAGAGCGCAGGCTCAGCAGTTGTGGCTCGTGGGCTTAGCTGCTCAACGGCATGTGGGATCTTCCCGGACTAGGGCTCGAACCTGTGTGCCCTGCATTGGCAGGTGGATTCTTAACCACTGTGCCACCAGGGAAGTGCAGTCTTATCTGTTTTAAATGTGATTCTTGAAGTTATTTTGCTTCCCTTCATAAAACTGAAAAGATTTTGAATGAAAGTTTCAAATGTTTGAAATCTCCTAAAATCTTCCCAGGGAAGTAAGTACTAATACCTTCTTTTCCTTATTAAATATTTCTGTAGCAAATCTGCTATCTAGTTAGCTGTGCCCAATGTTGGGACCTTTAAAAATTTATTTTCTTTTCTTTTTTCTTCCTTTTTAAAATCAATTTAAAAAAAAAGACAAGAATTGACTTGCTTACTACAGGTTTACTTTCCACTGTTAACATCTGCTGTTTCCAACTGAGGTTTCTCTTTTTACTTTGGCTTCCTCTAAAATAGAATGTAATTTTTTATATATATAAATTTACTTATTTATTTATTTACTTATGGCTGCATTGGGTCTTTGTTGCTGCTCACAGGCTTTCTCTAGTTTTGGCGAGTGGGGGCTCCTCTTCATTGCGGTGCGCGGGCTTCTCATTGCGATGGCTTCTCTTGTGGAGCACGGGCTCTAGGTGTGCAGGCTTCAGTAGTTGTGGCTCGCAGTCTGTAGAGTGCAGGCTCGGTAGTTGTGGTGCACAGGCTTAGTTGCTCCACGGCATGTGGGATCTTCCTGGACCAAGGCTGGAACCCATGTCCCCTGCATTGGCAGGGGGGTTCTTAACCACTGCGCCACCAGGGAAGTCCTAGAATGTAATTTTATAGTACCTTTCTTTTTACCAAAACAAACAAAAACAAAAACCAAACCAAACCAAACAAAACAAAATGATTCCCTGAAAACTGGAAATTAAAAGGTCACCTTGTTCACCCACATCCCTCCCAACCCCCGCTTAAGCCTAGTAAAGGAAGATGCTTAAATGTTAATGGTAGACCTTAGGATACACAAAGGGCTAGAAAAGTTTTTCGCTGTTTTTTGTTTTTTTTTTTTTAAATTCCACGGGACCTCCCTGATAATCGGTTTTGAGGTAGGACTGGGCTTGTTACACTTTGTATAAGGAGGTATGTTGTGTGGGTTTGTGAGGCTTAACCACCAGTTAACCACCAATCAATCCTACTTCTAAAAGCTATTTCATATCTGTGTGCAAGCTGCCCGAGCACTGTTTTTCTTTTCGGTCACATAAAGCTTTGGAATACAGGTGTAATGACGTCTGAGATGTACATTGACAGGAGAGATGATTATAGGCAGTGGAATTTAAAATTTCCTTCTTCCTGACAACAGAAAGTGATCTGGGCTGGAGAGAAAGGGATTCCTTAGGTGAACATCACTAAGAGGATTACTATTAATATATTCTTGTTTCCTTTAATGCCTTGCTTAAGGGGAAAAAAGTCCCTAATGTATAAAATCTCTGATTTTTTCATAGATGTGCTTGAGGGGTACAATGGAACCATATTTGCATATGGACAAACCTCCTCCGGGAAGACACACACAATGGAGGTAACATCTCACAGTCTGTACTTAGATGTAGTTTGCTGTGCACAGGGCACTCATTCGTTATTTGTGACATCGTTTTACCACACGCTTAAACAGTTTTTTTTCCTCTATTGCTTTGTCTCATACACGTTATACATGTATACATCGTTGTTGCAATCTAATCAGTTCCTGAGTTTGAATGGTGAAACCGTATATTTGAAATTATATCTAGCTTTGTTTTATCCACATAACCACAAAATTATGAATGTTTTAGAATTAAGTAAGAATTCTGTCACCTTATAATGGGAAATTTTTAATGTTTGTGTGCTTTCAGTTCTATTCAGAGCACTTAATTTTTTCCTCCTCTCCTTGGTCGTGTCAGTGTGTCCATCCTGTTTCCCCACCCGCAGCCAAATACTTGCCCCTCTTCTCTCATAAGAAGGTCTCCAAAATTTTCAGAGCTGCTGTTATTAAGAAATGTGAACCTGCTCAAGCTTTGCTTCTAGAACACAGCCTGTAATTTTCTGCCACTGCTACAGAGTATCTGCTTTTATCATTTATCTGAGCATTCCATATAAAGTAAATGACTGCTTATTTTAGTGTCACTCATGTTACTCATTTCCATAACGTCAGAGAACAAGCACATTCCTAGCATTTGGATGAATTTGACTTGAAGTAGATGCAACAGTGCAGATTTATGTGCCGAGCAACTAACATTTTCCTAGAATGTGTTCATTTACAAATGTGCATAATCTGATCTAACAATTAAATAAAAGGCTAAGATCAGTTGGTAACCCATATGGTTGGCATATATTATTTATGTGTAACTTACAAAAATATGTGACAGTTGAATTAGGTTTTTAAGGTATTTTGTACAGCCACATTTTGTTTCACAAAAAATTGCAACAATTAGAATTCCTATCCTCTGTTGACTGTAAATTATAGATTAAAAGTTTTGATTTTTAATTTGTATGTTACAGTTTGTTTATGAACTGGTTTTGTTTTCTGTTTAGGGTAAACTTCATGATCCAGAAGGCATGGGAATTATTCCAAGAATAGTGCAAGATATTTTTAATTATATTTACTCCATGGATGAAAATTTGGAATTTCATATTAAGGTAAAATCATTGGGGAAGGGTTGTATTTTATTTTATTCCTAGAATAATTCTGTTCAGTACTTTTTCTTTTAAAAAAGTATTTTTAAATATTTTAAAAATTATCTTACAGGCAGGTGTAGCTGAAAGATTATTAGAATTAGTAAACTCAGATCCCTCATCTGCCGTGGTAAACAAGTAAGCTGAGCCTCTCTTGCCTTAGCTGCCTTCTCTGTAAGATAAGGGAGTTTGGCTACAAAGCTCAAAAGTTCTGACTAATTACACCTAATTGTCTAATTTTAGGAGAAGATACATAGTGGAAAATGTACTTTAGTTACATAAGGGGTTTGGTGGATTTAGGGCTTCTCATTAGAATAAGAGCTGTGGCTGAGTTGTCCCTGTAGTCTAGATGGTACCTGGAACTCAGACCCCAGTAAATATTTAATGAATAGGTGAATAAATTACTTTGTAATTTTAAATGGTTGATTTTTCTTTTCCTTTATTCCCTCTGCCCTTTAGGTTTCATATTTTGAAATTTATTTGGATAAGATAAGGGACCTGTTAGATGGTAAGTTAAATTCTTGCTCTTCATTCGTTTTTCAATATACCACATACTGCTTTTTTTTAGTAGTAAATGTGAGACCATTTCTGAGTAACCTATATGAAATTGACTTAAATTATAGGAAAAAGTTTTAATTGAATGCCTTTGGACTTATTGAAAGCATATATTGTGGGCGCTTTGTAAGTAGTAATTAGCACATTGGACTAGAGTCTGGGAGCCTGAGTCTTGAGCGCTCATCTTCTGTCAGCTGTTGGTCAGAGACACTGTCCTTGGCAAACCATTGAACCACTCCAAAATGTGGGTGGCAGACGTTGGCCTGGACCTAAAATTCTATATTGCTGCATTGGTTTCTATATAAATCTCCTACTGTTTCTATAGGCTTTTACTTTTATAGTGATATCTACATATTTTTGAAGTTTGTGTATTATTATTAGGCTGCTTGAGGGGAGAAACAGTTGATTGACTATTTCACAGCCAGTGTTAGAGTTTAGGGAGATGTTGTTAATGTTATTTATTTTTCTTTTTCAGTTTCAAAGACCAATCTTTCAGTTCATGAAGATAAAAACCGAGTTCCCTATGTAAAGGTATGTATAATACAGAATATTTAGAAAAGCCCTACAATAACATTTTTTTAGGATAGTGACATACTTATAAATTTGTTTTACAGGGGTGTACAGAGCGTTTCGTATGTAGTCCAGATGAAGTTATGGACACCATAGATGAAGGAAAATCCAACAGACACGTAGCGGTTACAAGTAAGTAGCCTATGTATTAACACTAGTTAACGTACAAACTGCCTTAAAATATCTATCAAGTTGATTAATTGTAAGATTTTTCTTAGGTGAAATAATGCTTTAGAAGTTATTAGTAAGGGAAAGCCGTGTTTGTTGATAGTTGTTTGTGTGGTTTCTTTGCAGATATGAATGAACATAGCTCTAGGAGTCACAGTATATTTCTTATTAATGTAAAACAAGAGAACACGCAAACGGAACAAAAACTGAGTGGAAAACTTTATCTGGTTGATTTAGCTGGTAGTGAAAAGGTAAAATCTTTATATTCTGATAGATATCTAAGCATTTTTATGAACTTTAACTCAGATTTGGGCTTTTGCATTATTTATTGTTATATATTGAAAGTGTATATCAAATTGAATTTGGTAGCATTTTTGAGAGTTACAAGCATTTATGCCAATGCTTTGTCATTACAAATTTACTGTCATTTGGGCCACAGTCCAGTTCAACCAATAAGTGTTATCCTTGACTTAAGGTGTGTACTTTTATTGAGAATGTGTTGAGTGTATGTCATTAAGAATTTTACTAGGTATCCTTATCCTAATTTTTAGTATCTATTTTATTCATATTGGCAGTGAGCTGTCTCTGAAAACTGGTAACTATCCATTAGTCCTTTCGGATTTTGTTGTACTTCTTTCTTTCCGACGATTATTTAACTATTCCAGTCATATACAGTCTGATTCTAGTTTATGTCAAAATCAAAATAAGTTCAGGTGTTTTCATATTGACCTATATGTGAAACTTTTTTGCTGTTCTACTAATCTGTTGTTTCTTCTGATTAGAATGACACACCTGCTCCCTTCTATGCAAAGTTTTATACACATACTTCAAAGCCCGTCTCTAATTTTGTGAATACTGAGAGGCTGTTTTTTCAGCCATCATTGCTAACATATTATTCTATTATCTTTAATATATATATAGTTTATATTTTTTTAATAGAAGCAGGTTTGCTTATATAATATAAATTTGGTCTCTCTCTTTAACAGTTACAACATCAACATTATGCTTCAGTAAATTTTTTAAAGTTTCTCTTTAAAGGGGGTTAACAGGCCTCCCTGGTGGCACAGTGGTTAAGAATACGCCTGCCAATGCAGGGAACACGGGTTCGAGCCCTGGTCTGGGAAGATCCCACAGGCCGTGGAGCAGCTAAGCCCGTGCGCCACAACTACTCTCTAGAGCCTGTGAGCTACAACTGCTGAGCCTGCGCTCTAGAGCCCGTGAGCCACAACTGCCGAGCCCGTGAGCCACAACTACTGAAGCCCGCGCGCCTAGAGCCTGTGCTCCACAAAAGAGAAGCCACCGCAATGAGAAGCTCACGCACTGCAACCAAGAGTAGCCCCTGCTCGCCGCAACTAGAGAAAGCCCACGCGCAGCAGCGAGCATCCAATGCAGCCAAGAAAAGGGGAGGGGGTAACAAATTAGTAAACTACAAATGTACGTGTAATTTGATTAATTTCAGGAGCACACCTAAAAATAAAATTTGGTATCTTCTTAATCCCATTTTTGTCATGCAGCTAGTTACTTGACCAAGGTCTCAGAAGAGTCATACTCAATAAATAATAACTTAAAGTAAATGCTTGGCAAATAAAATCATGAACCTTTCCTTTTTCTTTTTTACTAGTTACTGATGACCTCTGAGCTTTTTAGAAAATCAAAGAAAATCTCCTAAACTCGTAATTTTGTTTCCTTTTTTTGAAATCTTATGTATAGGTTAGTAAAACTGGAGCTGAAGGTGCTGTGCTGGATGAAGCTAAGAACATCAACAAGTCCCTTTCTGCTCTTGGAAATGTCATTTCCGCTTTGGCTGAGGGTAGTGTGAGTATACTTGTCTTCTATATCCCTGTCGTTAGTTAGTGGAGAATTACAGATAGATACATACAATGTGCATGGATGTGTGAGTGAGAGAGGGATTCACTGAATCAGTATGTATGAATAAGTTGTCTTTTAGGGATTTATTTTATAGTATTAGTATGTATATCCTAGTTTCCATCTTAATAACTAGCATTTAAAACAACTGAAATCACTTTGTAGTTTATTGTAAAGTAACATATTTCTACAACAAATTTTATTACATAGAAATCCATTGGTCCTCTTTGTTTTTTTTTCTTGTTTGTTTGTTTGTTTTTGTACATAGACATATGTTCCATATCGAGATAGTAAAATGACAAGAATCCTTCAAGATTCATTAGGTGGGAACTGTAGAACCACTATTGTAATTTGCTGCTCTCCATCATCATACAATGAATCTGAAACAAAATCTACACTCCTGTTTGGTCAGAGGTTTGTTGTTAAGAAAATGCAGTCTATACCGCCTCCTTCTCTGCTGCGATTGCTGCTTATCTTTTTTAAAAAATGTTTTTATTGAAGTATAGTTGATTAATAATATCATGTAAGTTTCAGGTATACAGCATAGTGATTCAGTTTTATATATATATATATATATATATTCTTTTTCAGATTCTTTTCCCTTATAGGTTATTACATAATATTGAGTATAGTTCCCTGTGTTATAAAGTAGGTCCTTGTTGGTTTTTTATTTTATCTATAGTAGTGTCTATATGTTAATCCCAATTGCTTCTTATCTTGTTATAAGTGCAACAGAAGTCTTTATGTGATTGATATTATCACCCATATTTTAACTTACTGGTTTATATTTTTGTCTCCTCTTCTGGACTAGAATCACCTGAAAACCAAGTATTATATTTACATACCCTCTGTAGAAAATGCTTGTTGAATTAAATAAAATTGAATGGGATATTAAAAAAAAAAAGAAAATGCAGTCTAAATGTAGATAGGCCTTTTGTTTATTAAATCTAGGAAAGTTTCAGGTAGATATTCAAATCAGTGTGTATTGTTAGTGTGCTAGACACAATTTTTTAATTGAGAGGCAGATAATATAACCAGGGTCCACCTTGTAGGCTGCTTGGGTTTGAATTAAGTTTTAGTACTTAAATTTTAGTACTAAAATTAATACTATTAAGTACTAATTTTACTACTTAAGTTTTAGTACATTACAGTCAAATGTTAACTTGAGTCAAATTTATGTGAGACGCTTCAATTCAGCATTAAAGAAAACAAACATTTGAATCAGATAATAAAGCAAAACCTGACACATAATCTCCTATGTTAAGCCTGTTGACATATGTGACCTGTTTACATAGTGAGATAACCATATATGAGATGGCTAGCCTGGGAAAGTCAATAATGATGACTCTGTCTCTGGCCATCATTGATAATTGCTTTTCTTAATTCAGCGTTATAAATGAATTGGAGAAATGATGCACTCTTTTTTTTTATACTCATCAGGTTTTGTTGTTGTGTTGTTTTTTAAGCTATTTACAGATGTTGGGACTGACCCAAATTTAATGGATTGTGAATAAGCACCATACTAATTATAGCTCTTAGGATTTAGTCAAAGATAACTGGACAAGAATAGTTAAGTTAAATTACCAGCCACACATGCGTATATTACAGAAATATAGATACCAATTGAAAGTAATTGTCACATTCTTCCCCCCTCCCCTTTCCCCAACTACTTCTCTTAGGGCCAAAACAATTAAGAACACAGTTTGTGTCAATGTAGAGTTAACTGCAGAACAGTGGAAAAAGAAGTATGAAAGAGAAAAAGAAAAAAACAAGACCCTGCGGAACACCATTCAATGGCTTGAAAATGAACTCAACCGATGGCGTAATGGTAATAACTTATGAATTTGTTGTTTTGAGTTTGCTGAATCCAGTTTTAGACCTGTTTTATAAATTTAAAAGGCATTAGGGATCATCAGATAAAAATGAATAAAATCTGTTACATTAAATTCTGATTTTACCTGAAATAATAAATAGAGGCATAAAGGCCAACTAGCTAGCTATAGAAGTCTCAAGGTGGCAAGATGCTTAGCTTAGGGTGAAATCAATTAAAATGATAAGATTTGGTGACTGGCTTTAGAGGATGGGGGAGAGTCAAAGGTAATTCCAGGGCTTCCCTGGTGGCGCAGTGGTTGAGAGTCCGCCTGTCGATGCAGGGGACACAGGTTGGTGCCCCGGTCCGGGAAGATCCCACATGCCGCGGAGCGGCTGGGCCTGTGAGCCATGGCTGCTAAGCCTGCGCGTCCGGAGCCTGTGCTCCGCAGCGGGAGAGGCCACAACAGTGAGAGGCCCGCATACTGCAAAAAAAAAAAAAGAAAAAAGGGTAATTCCAACTTTTCATATCTCAGGGACTGAGCAGATAAAGTTGGTAAGAACTGCTGAAATTGAGTAAAATTGAAATTAGTTTTAGACAGGTGGGTTTTATTAACCATTCTGTTGTCTTATTTTAGGAGAGACAGTGCCTATTGATGAACAGTTTGACAAAGAGAAAGCCAACTTGGAAGCTTTTGCAGTGGATAAGGATATTACTATTACCAATGATAAACCAGCAGCCACAATTGGAGTTACTGGGAACTTTACTGATTCTGAAAGAAGGAAGTGTGAAGAAGAAATTGCTAAGTTGTACAAACAGCTTGATGACAAGGTAGGTATTGTTCATGTTCAATTCTGTTTTAGAACATTTTTGACATAGGTATTTTTATGTTCTAATTTCAATATTATGGGTCCTTGTGACCTATATATATCTTCCTAGATTTCTGTTAACTTTTTCAAGATCATTGTATTAACAAAAAATATAAAATCACAATCTCTGTTTGTATGTAGAAACTGTATATGAGGCATATCTTTTTTTCCCTTTTCTTTAAGCTAAAAGAACTTACAAAAGGAAATTTGGCATGGGTCCTTGGAGAGCCTTAATGAAATGTTCTTAGAATCAGGGATCTGAGGGCTCTAATAATAAAAGTGATTCAAGAGATTAGACAGAGGGAACAGAATTGAGTGGAAATAATATATTTTGCTTTGATTATATCCGTAGTGTGAAAAATAGCACAATTTTGAACCAAGTAGAGAGCGTGGGAAGAGCAACAGTAAAGAGACCAGAAGAAAATTGTTCTGGCTTTGTTTTTGGTTTTTGTTATTAGATGATATTTTTATTGTATTTTAAACAGAGATGGTAGGTAGGTTTGAAGTGGCTACGTGGCTTTATTTTCAATACAAAGCTTTCAACATGTTTATTACTTTTTAGCATTTAAAGTATTTAATGAATAACTTTCATAAACATAAGCCTTTTTTCTTATTGTGTGATAAGTATGTTACTGTGATTGATAATTGAAATTCCATCTGTTTCAACACCGTCCTAAGATAAGAGATTGGAATAAGCTATGTTGAATTTGGAGAAAATGACTTTGAAATATTGGGGGGTGGGAAGTAATCACAATTTGTGTTAGGAATCAGTTAGAACCAGGTTGTGAGCTACTTTGTTAACCTGTTACTAAAAATTCTAGGATGAAGAAATTAATCAGCAGAGCCAACTGGTAGAGAAACTGAAGACCCAAATGTTGGATCAGGAAGAGGTAAACTGAATACCTGTCATATTGCTTCCAGAAAAGCTTTATAGTCTGTCATTGTCACTTAAATATAAAAGATGAAGGCACCTACAGAGCTCGGAATATACTCGAGTACATTTTTAAAAATTTTTGAATATGTTCGTGCTTCACTGTGGATATCCTGTGAGACCGGTACATCATACAGACTGAAGCAAAGATTGACTTTCTCTTAAGGTTTTTTGGGGTTGGGTTTTTTGGGGTTTTTTCAGTTTGAGTTCTGACTGGAGGGGGGAGGATGACTTTTTTCTTTTTAAGTCTGTCTTCTTCTTTCCTTGTACAGTGCTGTTTTGTCTTATTTTCCCCAAAACATTTCTTTCTTTTTTTTAAAATTTATTTATTTAATTTATTTATTTTTGGCTGCGTTGGGTCTTCGTTGTGGTGCGTGGGCTTCTTGTTGCGGATCATGGGCTCTAGGCACACAGGCTTCAGTAGTTGCGGCACACAGGCTCTAGAGCGCAGGCTCAGTAGTTGTGGCACACGGGCTTAGTTGCTCCGCACCATGTGGGATCTTCCTGGACCGGGGCTCGAACCCTTGTCCCCTGCATTGGCAGGCGGTTTCTAAACCACTGCGCCACCAGAGAAGCCCCCCAAACTATTTCTTACTGATCCTTGGGAAAGACTTACTACCCTGAGCTGGAGTAACCTTAGATTCCCCCTCCCTTTATGAAACGTATTTCATCATGGAAATGATGAGGGAAGGAGTATAAAAAACAGTTAAACACAGATATATGTCTAAAGGGATTATTAAAGAAAATACTGATTTCTGAATTGTATTGGCTTTGTTTTTAGTAATTTGTAGTTTAGGGTATGACTTTTATCGAGGAAATGAGAATGTCAATGAATAAGATCATTTTTTACCCCTTCACCATTTCTACCCTCATCTAACCTGTTGTTCATTTCTGTCATCTTCACTTTCATCTTATTTCTTTCAAGTTCCTTCTCTCTAGTTTTTCACTTTGGACCCTCATTTCATCTCACTTGGCAGAATGGGGGGATAATTGAAAAATGGTCCTTTGTTTAAGGTTTGTTCTGGGGATGGGAGCAAAGACTATACAGCTTCAGTGAGAGATACCCAGCATCAGTAATATTAATCCTGGTCAGATCATCTTTATTCTTGTTTGACCTCTCGCGTTGTTTCTCAAAGGAGCACTAGTAACATTGCGTAATTCTCCATTTATATGGTTCTGTCCTGCACATTATAGTAGGACAGTGGGCATCCCTGGCTCCCACTTCGAAGTGCCATTGGCATTCTGCCCCGTTAGAAATACTCCTATACATTTCCAGATGCCCCTACTTAAAAGCCACCGACCCTGGGTGATTACAGTATTCTCCTAACTAGTCTCTTGGCTTCTTCCAGTTCAAATTTTATTTACTGATAACATGTTTTCCTGAGGCATGGCTCAGGTGCCACCCTCTGTTGCCCAAAGAAAATCTAAACTTTTAAAACATTACTGATTTCTTTCTTTTTCTGTGCCCACTATTGTGAGCCTTGTATGCCTTTTTCTTTCTGTTATGTTAGTTTGTATGTGACAGAAATCTTCCTTCATAGCCACCTTCTCCATGAATACCTGTCCAGAAATATCCCCCCTTTTCCTATACTACCAAGCACTTTGTCATGTCCTATCTCCTTTATGGCTCTTACATTTCATTTTGTATTGTATTTATTTGTGTACCTGTCTTTCTTCCACTAGATTCCTCAAAGGAATCTTAGATTTCCTTTCCATCTCCCACAGTGTCTAGCACAGAGCCTGCACATAGTAGGCATTCAGGAAATCGGTTGAATGAATAAATGTTACGCATAATAACATCCACATTTCATTCCCTTTGTGATTTGCAAATGATAATGGAAATAGGTTATTTTTGGTTTGTATACATTTTAAAAACCTGTGTACATTTTAAAACCTGGGTAAAACAGATATTTTTATTCCTTTGTATAGCTTCTGGCATCTACCAGAAGGGATCAAGATAATATGCAGGCTGAGCTGAATCGTCTTCAGGCAGAAAATGATGCCTCTAAAGAAGAAGTAAAGGAAGTTTTACAAGCCTTAGAGGAACTTGCTGTCAACTATGATCAGAAGTCTCAGGAAGTTGAAGACAAAACTAAGGAATATGAATTACTTAGTGATGAGCTGAATCAGAAATCGGTAGGATATAGTTTTCCTTCCTAATACTATACTACAGTATTCTTTT